CTAGAAACACTGTAAACTTAACAGCTGTGATGTAACTAGGGTTATTTTTGGTGTGATCGGAAAAAACAGTATTTATCAGAGCTCAGTGATTTTTACAGATCAGATGATATATGCTATTTTGCATTATGATTTTGTGCAAGACTTGATTATACAGCTTTGGAGCTGCAATAAATTCTCATTCCCTCACTATGAGATGCTAAAGGCCTGTTAGCATGTACCAGAGCATGTGATCTACCAGCGGTGCGAGAAAATTTTGTGTTTAATATCAAGAAATGTCAAGTGTTGTAAATTTTTTTTTAGAGAGAAATCTTATGCAAATGGTAAATGACATCTTTTTGAAATTATTAAATCTATTCTCTAAAGTCTTCCAAGAGGAAAGGTCACCCAGGAAAGGTCAGTATATTGTTAACATTTTACATCCTCAACTACCGTGCACTTACTCAACATTCTGTAAAAAACAAACTAGCAACCTCATCTGACCCTCAGTGCCGGCAAAGGTCATTCTCAGTATGTATTTTGACATTTTACATGTATCACGTCGACTTCCTATTTTCTTTTCTTTCTTTCTTTCTTTTTTTTTTGTTGTTGCTTTGTACGTGTTCAGCAAGTAAAAACCACCAGATATCTTAGCCTGAGCTGCATTCACCTCCTCGCCCCCCCACCCCCCCCATCGCTACATTTCCCCCAGTATTTGTCCCTCAAGCACATGTGGCAGATGCTGCATGACCGAGCTCGCTCAGAGAGGCCGCAGTGCTGTCAGCTCAGATCCGTCTTCGTTTAGGAGGGCGCTTGTTCATTAAGTCCAACATGGCTCAACAGGAGGCAGGCTTCCACAACACGCTCATGTACACCGTCATAAATCCACATTAGAGAGGACGAGGCATCTCATGTGGGGGGGAGGTTGTTGTTGTTGTCGTTGCTGTTGTTTTTGTGGTGGTTGAGGCGGTGATAACAGATAGTCCAGGCCATCAATACCCGACACACAGATAAAGAGCTGCCAAGCAGCAATTGTGGCATACCAGGTAGATGAAATGAATGTCTTGCTTTGTTAAAAATCTTTTTCTTTTATTTAAGTCTACAAAGCCGACCCCATATGACTGCCATTTACATAGCCTGATTTTTTTTTTTTTTTTTTTTTTTTTTTTTTTTTTCTAAGGGAAAGGTCAGTGGCTGGGGCAACTTGCCAGGTGTTTGTGGAGCAGCAGAGCAGTGCAGTGCGGTGAATGTAATTACGGCACTCTGGCAATCTGATAACTTGCCAGTCTGTCTCTCAACACTAGGAAAGTGCACTAGCATATTAAATGTGGCTCAACAAACACGGTTGTGAGCAGGGAACAGTGTCTGTATGTGTGTGCAGTATAATAGGGCGCAGGTTTTTGAAGGCCGGCTTGTTTTTTTGACTGTAGACGTGCCATTATTTCAGTTTGAAAACTTGTAAATTTGCTCCATTTCATCCGAAAGAATTTCAAATATTCCGTTTTGTTTGGAAGGGTAGGATCACTAAATTTCACAATTAAAGGAAAAATTCAAGTTATTCAAGTCTTCATTAATATAATACTCACAAATGAATACCTACATTGAAAGAATTACTGATTGCTGCAATCTCTCCTCCCGTCACTGGCTGTTGAGCAATGCATTCAGCAGCGTGACGCCAAAGGAAGAGACCACACTCCTTGTTCTGTGCAGAAATTCAAGCCAGTAGTTTAGCTTCTCCCTGTGATTGATTGCTTCATATTTGTAGTTGTGCATGTCTACAGATAGCTAGCTACTCATATTTTAACCATACTCATCTATTTGATATCCATGCATGAAGCTCATTGGTTATGGAACAACAGCAAGGGACAGGGCTTTTGTTTCTTGAATGTATCCTGAGGGCGGCACTTCTCCCCAGGGTGGTACACCCCTTGTCTGGAAGGAGGTGCAGCCTTAAAGGCTGAAGTCAGGGAACAAAACTCTCCCAAGTGCGATTAAAGCCATAGCTTACATGAGAGATCGTAACATGATTGTCTGCAGCTTTGCGAGATGGACAGTGTTGTGTCTGGCTGGGGCTGAGATGAGGATGAGGCTTCAGCAGCCAGGATCTTCAAAGTTACAGTTTTTTTTTAGTGCTGGATTACCTCTTTGTGTTTTTCAAGCCAAGGGACAGTGACAGAAGGATGATATTTTATACTATTAAGACTGAAATTTGAGAACATAATCACCTGATTTGTCTCAGTCTCACACTGCACAATCCTCGTATTAAATTTGGCATGGACAGGAAAAAGGGAATCATTTCATGGCGTTTATGTACGAGAGGAATTATTTTAGTGATCAGCAACTCCTCCAGTGTTTATATGTGACTAGAAAAACCTGAACCTATCCTTTAAACCAAACTAAAAAAGCTAAGTCATGCATATTATGTAAAATCAAATCATAAAATCACCAATTCAACAGTAGGGCATTATCAATCAGTTATACAGTAAAAAAAAGATGAGCCTCAGTATTTCACATCTGTCCTCCTAGAGCTGAACGACACTCGACAACATCTGCTTTAACAGAGGATCAAAATCAACCCCACATTTCTACACGGGTTACAAAAAGGTTTTTTTCTTTGACTAGGTGAGAGACCGTTCAGACTGGAGGCAACAAAAGGGTACTCCTGGAATAAAAACAATGTTTCTGTCAGTAGCAGTCGGGCCCCAGAAGGTCAGATAAAACAACAAAGTGGAAGAGACAAAACATTGTTGATATCTGAATCCCAGAGCTCCCAGTATCTGAAGCACGGCCTCTGTTTACTAGTAACAAGAACAAATATCAGCCCTGCTCCTGTCTGGAAATGAGCTTTAGGCAACGGCTCGAACAGACAACTGAGAGAGTCCAGGGAGCTGCCAGACACACAGCGCTGCCTCTCTGGACCTCAGCTGACACCATAAGTCAATGACCGGCTATTTAGACGTCGAAGCTGTTTGGAGACTAGTGTTAACAAGCACAAAGCGGTCACTGAGTGAGCCAGAAAAGGTGTTGTTGTGCTTCAAGAACAGAGAGCACTGCCCGCGCTCATCTGTTTTATTCTTCTTCCCCTTCAACCATTCACTCTCTCACTTGGTTTTTTTTTCTCCCCCCACTGTAATTACACTTGCTCTGCCAAGCGTAGCTTGAGGCGTGGCTGGGCAAAATCACTCGTTAATATGAATCTGCAGAGTGTGTGAGGAGGAGGACTATTCACTGACAGTCTCTGTGGAAACATTAGGTTGTAAGCAGCCTGCACCTGTATGTCCCTCCTGGGACAAAGAGGTAAGGAAGCCTCACTTTGGGAAATCTTTTTGTGTGTGTGTGTGTGTGTGTGTGTGTGTGTGTGTGTGTGTGTGTGTGTGAGACCACTTTCAGAATGATCTTGCAGCAATCACAAATCCATTGTGAGGAAACAAGCGCTTGTAACTAACAGCCTTCTGGTTTGGGATTATTTAACCATCCGAAAGTTGCCTGCAAAATCACAGTTGCACAAGGGCGTCAGAGGGCAGGAAATGTAGGTGTGATCATCAGAATAAAAGCACGAGCAACACACCCTAAAGCCAGTGAGAATGTAAAACCCTTTAAACGTGCAGCATATTAGAAACAACTCCACACACTGTCTTATTTCTGAGATTGGCAATGCTGTTTTTGAACAAATGCTTCCCAGACAAAGGGATCTTCAGGTGGGAAGTGTGAAACTGAAGGTGTGACGACACGTCCTCAGCCCACAGAGGCGGCTGAGCGGCTGCTGTGTTTGTCAGGAGACATACAGAGCATTAGCACCAGCCAGAGCACCAGACCAGACCGACAGTGTTACACATCGTTTCCCTTTCTGATGCCAAACGAGCGTAATCGCACACAGGTTCATGGCAGCGGCTGATGACAAAAATAAATTTCATACTGAAAGACATGTCGGGTATGAAGACAAGTCGAGATACAAGATACAGGCCTGGCAAAAACTGTGTGTTTGTGTGTGTGTGGGGGGGGGGACTGTGCATGAGCCGTGCTGCTGTACTGCAAATTACATGTAGCTGCAGGCTATGTGGGGCCAGTTGTTAGGGATGTGTTTGTGTGTGTGTGAGAGTGAGAGATGGAGGGAGAGGGAAATTATTATCTCTAGGTGTTCTTCAACAGGCCAAGGAAGGTGAGTCACTCCTGTGTGCAGACTTCATTAATTTAGACTGATAGACAGCAACATGCATGGTATACTCTTCAAAGGAGCACCACTCATTAATTATTAATCCATACCATACTGGATAGCATGAAAAATAGCAAGTGACAGTTGGGAATAAAGACTAATAGAAGACACTTTTTTCTAAAGTTCCCCTAAAACAGGGTTGTATGAAAGGCAAAGCCACTTGAGCTCATTTCCATAATACCTCTGTCTGCCCCGTGAGAATCATGGGGTTCAGTTTGCCTTCATTTGCATGTGCCACGAAAAAGCATATACCATTTTTTTGCAGCTGGGGTGCACTGAAACACTTACAAGATTTGATGGAGTCTATTGGTGGATATCAAACCTGCCAACTGGCTGCAGCTCAGAGACATTATTTTGGGGAATTTCCTGTGGAGCCATGGATTTTTATCAGATTCACAGCAGGAAGCAAATTGGACGAGAGATAACAGTTGGCAATTCTCATCACCTACAGACCTACAGATAGACACTCATTTAAATTCAGAAACTGTCCTCTATTCAAATTCTCAATCTGACTTTTTTTTTCTACTGCAGCAACTCACTAAAATAGCACTCACACTGTTGTAGAGGAGATAGTATAAATGTCTGCAACATGGCAAAAGTGCAGACGTTTCACACATTGTTGAACTTGTTGACAAGTGGAGTAAGATTTAGTGTGTGAGGCACAGCCTCAGGAACGAGTGTATGCATGTGTGTGTGTGCGCGTGTCTGTGTGGCCCTGAACTCCTCCATCAAAGCCTTTGAATCACATTCCTCCGTTTTAAGATTAAAGGCCGTTAGTCGAGAGGGATACCATCAATCCAGAGGCATTTTATTTAGATGAATATCTTCACAGAAAAAAAAAGAGCAATCACATCCACCTACTAAATCCAAAAACTATGCAATCTGCACTATAATCATTCAAAAAAAGGCATACTGTATATCACAAATTCACATATTAAAAGAACAAACTTATAAACAAGCAGTATAGCATTTCTCTGCAGCAGAGGCATAATGAGAGGGATGCAATGACCAGCAGTATGTTTTTGCCAGGTATTCTTTCACTTTAAAGTCAATGTACTCCGTCCGTTTATCCTCTAGGAAGAGTAAAAATAGAACATATCACTCTTTGCAACTCTCCAAAAAAAAAACCCTTTTCCCATGATTCATTGTCCATGCAATGTAACACCTGGCAGCTGACATCACAGCTGCCAGGGAGTTGTACAGGACATGCGGCAGTGGTTGAATGGAGGTTGTGAGACAAGGAGTCACGACATGTGATGTAAAATCTGAATAGCATCTTGGGGGGAAAAGGGGAAGGGGAGGAAGACTTTCATGCAAATCTTAATAGTTGAAGTCATTTCATATCTCACTGTGGGGTCCCAGACAGTGTCCCATCCTGGATCACACATCCGAATTAATGCTCAGATTGGCCAGTCTTGGGTCAGAGTTTATCTCATATCTGTAATGGTACCCCTCCATGTGGTCCCTACAAGCGTCTCGGATGTTGTACATCCAGCGCTTGATGCCTTTTCTGTTCAGGTAGAGCACCAGCAGGAATATGACGCCAATCAGTGCCAGCACCAGCCCCAAGAAAACATAAGATGTCTCCAGCACGCCCTCCATGTCGCCCACGCATTTCAGCTGTGATGACTCCACCTGCAGGAGTGGCTGGCGTCTCAGGGCCTCAGGATCAGCGCAGGTCAGGTTCTGCATGTCAATGACCTGAGTGGAGTTTTTGAGCCACAGCAACATCTCCTCCACGAAACAATCGCAGCGCCAGGGGTTCCCCGCCAGCCAGATGTGGAGACTAGGCTTGAGGCTGAACTCTGCCAGGGTGGTGGTCGGCATATACCTCAGGCTGTTGTCCCTCAGGTCAAGGTCACGCAGCGGGGGCACCTTCAGCGTCCCGTTCTGGATGGAGATGATGGAGCTGTTCTGCAGGCTGAGGTTGATCAGGTTGAAGAGGCTCGTGAATATGTCGTCTGGGAGAATCACCAGATCGTTGTTGGACAGGTCCAAGACTTTCAGCATTGAGAGGTTTCCATGCTGTAGGACACTTAGGATCACATCCATGGAGGAATGACTGTGAAAAGACCTACTGAGGTTCAAGACCTGCAGCTTATTATCATCAGGGATAGCTCTTTCACTGAAAGTCTCGATTTTGTTGTTGCTCAAGTCCAGCCGCACAAGGTTTGGCATGTTGTCAAATACCATTGCACCTACAGACTCCATCTCATTCCCACTGAGATAGAGATCTGTTAATAATTTTAGGCCGGTTGGGAAAGAGTCCACACTAATACGGGAAATGTTGTTTCCTGTGACAAACAGAATTTTGGTATTGTTCGGTAAAGAATGCGGAATCTCGTCCAAGTCCTGGTTTTGGCATTTTACAGTTTGTGAGGAGCACAAGCATCTGTCCGGACAGCCGTGACAGGACAGTGCGACCGCGAGGAGGAAAAGTAAGTGCATCATACCGGACTTCTGTGTTCTCCCACGGATTTCTCCACGGTTACATCCGCACAACGTGCTCAACAGGCGCATCTTGGAATATGTAAATCTGTCTGCGGAATCCGTGTGTAAAGACTGATTTATAACAATCCAGCTCAGTCACCGCTTTGTTCTTCCGCGGAGAAAAGTTTTTTCAACTGTCTCCCCCCTCTATCCTCTCGAAAACTGCTCCCAGTTCCAGCTCAAGACTCCGTATGACTACCCCCACACCATTCTTGTTTCAGGGTGAGTCTACATTTCCATGAGGATAAAGGTGATGTGGACGAAGCTCGCAAACTTTCTAGGATATCCCACTGGTTTGTTTTTCAAACCTCAGATTTTCATGAATATAAGAAGCTACGCGGTATTTGTCCTGTCCGGACAAATCAATCAAGTCCGATGCGGAACCTGAACTTACTTGCTCCTGGTTCCGAGCCAGACAATGCGCCCTGTCTCCCAAAGATGCCGTGTGTTACCTACGCACTTCCAGCTTGCCGCTCTCCAGGTCTTTGGGAGTCTAGAGGGAAAGACTAAACAGCAGCACAGTGCAGACCAATGGAAGGAGGGAGCATACCATTATTCAGCAAAATGGGGGTGAGCAGAAAACTCACACAAGTTTCATATAGACTAATTTAAATTTTCTACAAATGCTGACACGTGCTTTTTAAAAAGAATATTAATCCTAATTTGATTGTGAAACATTTAAAAGAGAAAATCGCGACTAGGTTTCTTAAAATGACCTGTAGCATACAAGTGCACAGTGACTTGGGGTCCAGGGACCTCTGTGGGTCCCGGGGGAAACTCCAGTGACGTTCCCAGCAAACTAAGGAACGGTTCACCTTCACTGTGAGGTTGCAGCCCAGATTACACTATGTAGAAACACAGCCTACATATCTGATCATCATTTTACTAAATCATAATCAATGGAATAGGATATCTGCTTGGTAGTGAAATGACTCCACATCTCGGGAAATTCAAAAAGTTATTCCTGTGGGTAAAGCATTTTAATCTATAGGCCTTTTGTAAAATTTGGTATTCAGTCCAGTTCAACTCAAAACCCATTTGATAAATTCTATAAGTGGAAAACACATATCCTAAAGAAATTGAGAAGGCAAAAGGAAACTGGTAAAGGAAACACATTAATCATATGATCCACTGATAGTGTAACTTTACTGGAACCATTATTTACTATTTGTGTAGAAAAGCTACCGTCCCTTTCAGGATCCTTGGGGAGTATATAATCTCTAAACAATAATGAAGGCAGGGAAAAAAATCGACTCATATCTCAACACAATACTAACAATATAGACAATAAACTCAAAATAATAGCAAAGAAAATATGACTAGTGATAATTTGGCTGAAGTTGCCTGGCTCATATTTATATAAAAAAAAAAAAGACAAGAATTTTAAACAAATCTCTCAAAAGTTCATACGGTCATTATACTTTTATACAAACATTCATTTGACATACAAAATGTTTAGGAGATGAGCTTTTCTCCAAGAAGATATTTCATAAACACTGATCATATTCTGCATAAATATACTTTTTCATATGATCTTGAAAATGTGTGGTTGAATGTCATTAATGGTGTGTCCCTCAAACTCGGGTCCATTGACCTCAAAGGTTCAAAGGAAAAGGGTTAAGGAGGGTCCTGAGCAACAATATGAATGATTCATTTCATGTACTTTATCCACAAGTAATAACACCAATATGAAAATATAAATATAAATATTTTTGAACACATTCTGTTCTCTGTTATCTCACTTTACCAAATCTTCTCAGGTTTTGGTCCATGGGATGGGACAAAGCTTTATTTAATCCTTGGTTTAATCAAAATTATCCTATTGGTGCAAATGGAAGTTTAGGAGATCCTGGATCTTATCAATGTGCAAGTTATTTTTTTTCTCAATGCATAATACAAAACTGATCTTTGGCAGCAGTAAATGACCCCCCTCCAGAGATGATAATGAAAGAAAAAAAGTGTAACATTTGACAGTGTCAGTCGTTGAATAACATGATGTTATTTCAGAAAACAATGGAATTCTCAGATTCCTTCATTTTTTTTTACATAGTTTGTATTTCCCTAGTATTGAGGGGTGACCTTGTGGTGAAAACATTGTCTGATGGATTATGCAGGATTATCCTTCTGAGAAGAAAAACTGTGCTTGTGTTCAAGCCTGAACGGTGAGGGAGGGCGTCCTCATCAATATGTCATATTTGGAAGCCCCTGTGTGGATCCCAGTGTAACCTTAGCTTTACCCTCCCTTGACCCTCTCCTATTCTTAGCCTGGGTCAATGTGACATTCATCTGAGTAATTCCATGACACCTGGATCGAGGCTGAAAATGATACTGCACCCAAAGTCTGTTGAGTTTGAAACTACTGTAACTGACATGATGCTCTTGTGGAGCATCTACCAACATTTTACATGCATTTTTCATGCCCACACTTGGTGTGGCATGCTCAAAAGATAGATTTGGGATGGAATGTCACATTATTTTTATTCTCCATTAAAACAACAAAGCATACATTTGTCCTTCTTTTGAAAAAATGATTTTAAAACAACTCTCTTGCTCTTCTCTTGCCCTTAACTGCATCTAAGTGGAAATATAGGACACTTTTTAGACAATAAATGTCAGTCCATTTCAGAGGGAATAGCATTATTACTGTAAAACTGCTGTGCTGTTCTGAAGATTGAAGATGTTACTGTCCACATGAGGTGTGAAATGCAAAACTAAATTAACCTTAAATGATACAGGAAGTGTTGTATTCTTGGATCATTCAAGATGAATTTACAAGGTATATATGGCAGTTTTATTATAATCTTTTCTTTTGTTTTCTAATGTTATTATTTTGTAATTATGTGTATAAATCCCGAAATTAAAAAAAATCAGTGACATCATAGATTGAACAAATGCACACTCTGCCCACAACCAACGCCCTCGAAAATCAACCAATGAGATATTGGTATGTACAAGCTCTGACCAATCGGAAGTCTCAACACTAGCGAGGGCTTTTACCTAACCTGCAGGGTTTCAGGCGTTCAGTCCTGTCAAAATTTGCACCAGTGAAAAAACCGTTAGTGTTCCCCGTTTGTAGTAATGACACAGTGGATGTACGTCGTTGATGCAACTTTCTCTATGTCCTCTGTTTTCTTTATCTAGCGGAAGGTAAGAAACGATACGACTTAAATTCCCCTTAGCAGAGCAGCTCGCTAACGCTAGCTTGCGATGATGTGTCAGTCAAGCTAGCTGCCAAAGTAGAATTAGCTAACGTTAGCTAACAGCACTGGTCAAATGTTCAAACCGATACATTTTATAGATGTTTCTACCCATGCGTCGAGTTTGAAGGTTTGAGAATACATAGCAAACTATGATGTTGCTTGATGTGTAACGTTGTTCTGCTTCGTACAGCTGTTTAGCATGTTAGCCACCTAGCGTTTTGGGAGGTCTTATTCTACCAAAGGTTTTGTTTCAAAGTGGCTTTGATGCCCTAGATCTTTCACTCAGAACCCAATGAAGGTTTGAATAGGGAGCCAATATGAAAGCCAATACGGAAAACTAACAAGCTCATGGTATTCGGCTAACTTAGCCTGTTACATAATCCTGCTGTTTAGTCAACATTAAGAACCTCCCTTCCTAACGTCATTGCACTTTATTCATAAAACACTACCCATATGCAAACTATATGCAAAGTTTACATTTGATAACCCCAATCTTGTTTGCACAGTGTTGTAAAATAGCTGTCTGGCAAACCTGTCAACTCAGCTGATCTGAGCTGCTTAAGTCTGTAATTACCAAACTTGTTCTTATATTTGCAATTGCAGTTTTCGACCAGCACACAAAGCTATTCTTGCATATTTTGGATGGCATGTAAACAAAATGTGAATGTATTGTTCACCTTTGATAATTGTCACATTTTCTTCCTCAGGTGCACTCTACAATTATGGAGTTTTGAAAAGGAAAGTGAGAATTTTGGGGGGAAAGGGGGCCTTTCCCCTCAAATTTGATGGTTGGACTGCTGGAAAAGAAGGTCAGGGGGTTGTTGATATTGTTGCCTTTTGTAAATCAGTAGAGGAAAAACTATTTTTGCAAACACTGAAATGTACAATTTTGTATAGAAAAACAGAAGAAGTTTTGTATTTATTGAATCTTAAATGCCATTGTATGCTGCAAGCACCTTAGTTTGTGTGCAGGTGTTGGTCGAGATGGTGGACTGAAATAAGTCACACAAAGGCTCTGGGGTTGCTAGGGTGCGGTGGAACCTCAACACAAGCACAATTCTAGCACTCCAAACCATCTCGACCTTTTGTAGATACATCGTTTTTTATGTACCTTTTGCCTCTTGGAGAGCAGCTCTGTTATAGTTTGCAATTTAGTTGCATTGTTTTTGGTTTGTTACTTTACATCATATTGTTTTTGAGTTTGTTTGCAATTGTGGGTGGTGGGCTATCAGAAGGACTTTGCAACACATAAGGGAGGAGGGTTCACTGTGAAGATTTGGTGGTGGTCAGGATGAGTCTGGCACCGCCGGACTGCACCCCCAAATGCCGCTCTCAGCAGCATGCAGACGAGGTGGTAGCAGCACTGACGGGTGGCTCTGAAGGGCAGCTGCGGGCATTCTTGAGTTCACACTGCCACAATGCGGCCACCTTGCGGGATGCCTTTGGCCGTACAGCCCTGCACCTGGCAGCCTCACTGGGAAAGAAGGCCCTGCTGGAGTGGCTGCTGGAGAGTAAGAGTGCTGACCTGATGGTGAAGGATAAGGAGTCCTGCTGGACTGCTCTTCATCGCAGCGCCTTCTACGGACAGATCCACTGTCTCATATCGCTCATCAAGGTACGTGTTCAAGTGGATCGTCAAAAAATGTGCTGTCCATTTCGTCAAGAGATGGTCAGTATGTTTATTAGCATAAATAACAAGGTAAATAAAGGTCCTATTTACTAAATTAGTGAAATTAGCCCAACACCATGAAGCAGTAATATTAAAAATAATCTGTTGGTGCTTTAAAAGGAAAAATTAAGCTTGTTCCTTGCTATGTATTATTTTGAACACGTGATTAGTTTTATTTGGATCAATATGACATGTATTTAAATTTGTTTCGTTTCAGCATGGTGGACTTCTCTCCACTCAGGACAAGGAGGGTCTCTCTGTCTTGGACTTGACAATGAAGGACCGACCAGCACATGTTGTGTTTAAAAACACTGGTAATGAAAGTTGTTGACTTCTTCGCTTAAGTTGACATTGTTGTAAATGATGACACCTGATGATGAAACCATTACCTCTTTAGTTTGTTTTTGTCAAGAGTCACAAGGCTCATGATCATCATGGTGATTCATTCTATTAAATTAAGCATTTGACACTTGTATATGCATGGGATTTAATTCTCCCTGTGCTGTATCGCATGTTTTTCTTGCCATTATGATCTGTGTTAATGGCACAATTGACTGGTGGTTGAAGTCAGTCTTCAGGTGGAGGCAGTGTTGTGGCTGTGCTTGTAATTGTGTTTTCTCCCCCACTACAGACCCAACTGAAGTATACACATGGGGAAACAATACTAATTTCAGTCTCGGCCATGGTAATCAGGAGAGCCGACAGCACCCTGAGCTTGTGGATGTGTTTGCCAGGACTGGAGTTTACATCAAGCAGGTAGGTTAACAACACTGTTGTCCCAGCTCTCCAGGGAAGTATGAAAGTGTTTTCCTACAGCAAAAGGCTTCCCCACCTGAAAACCCCACCTGCATGCGTCACACCAGCAACAGCCTCCTGCTTTACTCTGTGCCAACATGTTACATCAAAAAAAAAAAAAAAAGCCAATGCACATGGGTACTCCAGATGAGGCACACCACCTGGGTAAACCAGCAAAACAGTTTCTCCCCAGAGTCCTGTATTACACAACCTTCTCCTCAGGGTACAGCAGCATTTGTAAAAATGTTTTTTTGTAAAGCTTGGCTCAAATTTGACTTGGTGAATCCAAGGCTGTTGAAATATTGGTTGAATTTTTAACTGTACTTTAGATAACTTAAGTAAGTAGTTGTAGAACCAAGTCACATTATATTATTAGGAATGCGGTAGTAAACATTATTCTTGGTTAACTGTGGATTTGGAGAGGATCGGGATAAAAATGAAACACATCTAGCAGTAGATTGAGGGTGTAGTTGATGTGTCAGGCACGGAGTGATTAGCTTTGTCTTCTTCTGTATAGTCTTAATTTGTTACTTTGTTGAGCCAGTCTGCATGGTTAGACAGGCAGGCTACAATTTCATGCATTTGTCGTTTAGATGCTCTTAGGGTGATTAATGTTGCTGCTGGCATCAGTGCGGCTACCCCCAGTGGTGTGTGTACACACCAGGTGCTAGTTATAGTAGATTAAGTAATGACTATGTTAGATAGGTTGTTATTGTTGTCTGTTCTTAAGACTTGGCATTTGAAAGCAGGTTTGCGTGTTTGCTGAGAAATGATTCATCTGAGGCCCTTTGTCACTACATTATTGCTTTTGATAGAAGAAACTCTATGTTTGAGGTGTTTTCTGACCTGCAGAACTTGTCATGCAGAGTAATTTCATAAAGCCTCGTGGGGGACAGGTGGATCTGATTTCATGACCACACAATGACCCAGTGGCACAGCGTATAGTCTTTGTCCTCCTAGCTCAATCCAGCAGGTGCCAGAGGTTAAATATTAATTCCACAATGACATGTTTTTAATTAAATGAACCACGCTGGTGTGTATGCTTGTGTGTGATTGTCCACATCAATGTGATACTTTGGGAAACATCCCTGCACTCTATTGAAGGCTTGAGGGTACCAATGTATTAGTAATGATGTTTGCTTTTCCACTTGTGCCCTGGCCTTTTATTGGCATAGTGTTTTACTACCACTACAAGAGGACTTGGCTGGAGGACATGGAAAGAGATGCATCGCAGCCTCTGCTGTGAGGTCAAAATGATAATGACAGATGCCTTAATCAGCTCAAGACTAGACTGTTTTCCCCCCAACAACAGTACATGTAGTATTAAAAAATATATATATATAACAGCAACAAAAAAATCACAAATATGTTAATGTTTAATTTCCTCTCCTCCCTTTAGGTGGTCCTGTGTAAGTTCCACTCTGTGTTCCTGTCTCAGAAAGGCCAGGTGTTCACTTGTGGCCATGGACAAGGAGGACGACTTGGCCATGGAGATGAACAGACTTATCTGGTGAGACTTGTCATAGGGCATCTTTTTGGCACAACCTTATAATACAGTAGATGGTTCCTGCAGTACAGGAACAACAGGAAACATTCAGCAGGTATAGTATACTTGAGTGTTACATGAAGTGACGGCTCTGCTTCTGTGCAAGCATAGAGGGTTTAGAGTTTTTTACTTGAGATGATGATTACCAGTCTATTTAACTTTTTAAAAATAAAGGAATTACTCTTAAGGGATGTTAAGTTTAGTCTCTGTTTGCTCTCATTTCATTTGGCTTCAACGGCCTATCAGTAAGTATTAATTATTATTTTTCAGCCAGTCATGTTGTCTACAACTGATAAGGATGCAGGCTGTTCCCTTACCACAGCCACATTAACACGGGCTATAAATTTCAGAATCGATATGTTTTTCTGTTTTGTCTCCACGGTTAAATGCCTGGAGTTGGTGACCCTGGAACTTCATCAGATGAAATTGTATTTCTAAAGAAAATGTGATTTCTAACGTGTCTCCACTCACAGTTTAAAAAGTGTTTCTGATGGCAGTGATAAATTGTGTGGAGATGGGGAAAAACCTCTTAAACAATAATGGTGGAGCAGATAGTGGCTTCCTCTCTGCAAAGAATGTTTGATGATAATTTGTGAAACAAAATTGTGATGTGCTCCATAATTCAAGGCCCATGTGAGAACACATTTAAATTTCTCTTATATTTTTACCATGAACTTTGCACACCTTTACATCTCTCTTGAATTCACATGCTGCATGCATAGTTTCTCACCTGCGCTGATGAACAGATACAGACCTTAGAATTGCTAAGCTGGTAAAATGTGTTCATTATGAATTACAGTGAGGAAGTGTTGAGCTGGTATCAACAGTAGCTTTATGAGTGGATCAGAGCTAAAAAATAATCAGCCTGTGTCAATGCCGTTTTAGTGACAGAGTGACTGCAGGCAAATAGTGAGGAGATGCCATTAAACTCCCAGCACTGAGCATAGAGAGACTGTTAACGTTTCTGTACATGCAGTTTGTTTTTTTCTAAACTTTGTCACTATCTTCTCATTCCTCTCCTCAGGTTCCTCGGATGGTGGAGGGTCTGATGTCCCACCACTGCTCCCAGGTAGCAGCAGCTAAAGACCACACAGTGGTACTGACAGAGGAAGGATATGTTTACACTTTCGGCCTCAACACCTTCCATCAGCTAGGCCTAGCTCCTCCTCCCGCCTCAGCACATGTCCCCAAACAGGTAGGAGGTTGCAGGGCTAATGACATTTTGCAGCACATGAAACAAGCGGCGTTAATGTGCTAAATGGGATTTGTTGTTTTGGTGTGTAAAATGACATTGTGTAAAGACATCTTTAATGAGCTCTCTCTTGAATACAGTCTTACTTTTTTTTTTTTTTTTTTTAACATTTGACAAAACCATTACTTTAGGAACCAATTTAATGTCCCTGTACTATCTTGTATAGGTGTTCTCCAAGACGCTGAAAGGGAGGACAGTGATTGGAGTTGCAGCAGGAAGGTTCCACACAGTGCTGTGGACTAGGGAGGCTGTCTATACAATGGGACTCAATGGAGGGCAGCTGGGTAGGTCTCAGCATACCCATACAAGTACAAGGGCAGTATTAAACACATACTGCATATGGTCGACTTGGTATGTTAAAGAACAGTATATTTTATACTCCTTTGTGATTTAATCTCCAGGTTACCTCCTGGATCCTAATGGGGAGAAGTGTGTGACAGCCCCCCGGCAGGTATCAGCCCTGCACCACAAAGATGTTACCATAGCCATGGCAGCAGCTAGTGATGGAGCAACAGTAGTTGTGACGGAGAAGGGGGATGTCTACCTGTTGGCTGACTACCAGTGCAAGAAAATGGCTTCAAGGTGAATAAAACTATAGGGCTTAAACCACCGCTCATTGCACTGCAAAAAGTTGTCATGTCAAAGACTCACATGGTTTTGTATTGAAGAGTCCATCTCATTAAAAGACTTAACAGTCACATTACACTCTCTGCAATATTAAAATGCCACATACATATCCGTCTTTGTAAAGCAACACAAAAAATCCACATGATCTAAGTTTATTTGTTTGTCTTCCTAAATGTATTCAGAGTAACAGATTTAGCAAATTGCCCCATAGTACCACAATTCTAAAAAGCACACATACTACATTGATTTTGAGCCAGTTATCTCCCAAATCTTGTGTTCGATGGCAGAAATAGCGGGTAAGTTTCCTGTTACAGCACTAAATGAATTCATAACTAATAAAAGACATCTTGTAATGTCACACGAAGATGTCTCTATATTCTTCCATGCTCATCGATCTGAACAGTATTTGCAGTCTTTTCAAGCCAGCTGAGGCACTGTCCGTTCTGCATCACCTCTGGTTTTCTAATCAGGCCTCGTTTGAAAGACAGCTGATAGTAAATAAGCCACTAAACTGGAAGCAGTTGTGGTACCTCTTTCTCTGCTTTGCATAGTTTAGTGCTCCAAATATGTGTTGGCTGGAAAGGGTAGCAGAGCTAAGTGCATGCTTGTCTGTTAAATAGCAATAACACAACATCTGATTTGCCTGAACTCAGATGTTCAAGAAATCAGCAGTGATGATGGAATGACTATATTCCACCAAGTGATTTCCATGGATAGACAAAGTGATTAATACCATATATTATATTCATTTTATTAACGTTCTTTTTTTTCAAATGATTATTTTTGCTTCTTCCTGTTCAGGCAGCTCAACATCAAGAAGGTTCTGGTCAGTGGTGGCAGTCTGGACCACCGTGTGGATCCACAGATGCTCAATGAGGGAGGAGGGGAAAAGGTGGCTGTCTTGGCGTTAGATGAAGCTGGCAGGGTAAGTACATTAATTAGGCATAAGAAAAAATGCTTTTCATTCTGTTATTTAGGCACATGGTGAGGAGAAACATTACTCCACACCTTAATTTGGCCTAAATCAGTTATGAAACAGTAAAACTGAGGCAGAAGTGAAAGTGTGAATTGAAGCTACAGTTTATAAAGGTTGGAACAGTGAGAGAATATATAACTGATATTTTTAAAGTTGTTTTATTTTCTGTATTGTTATCTAACCTATGGTGTTACACAATAATACAATTACAGTTACACAATGCAGAGTCCGGCCTATATGGATTCCTATAGATGAAAATGGTGACTAAGAGTTACATTTTCTTGCTGTATTTTTTCCCCCTCTCTGTCAGGTTTTTTGCTGGCGTTCCTCCGGCAGCTCGGTGAGACAGTGCCGGTGGGCGTACGGGCGTCAGGTTTTCATGTCGGACATATCGTTCAGCAAGAACAGCATGATGTTTGTGACTCAGGAGGGGGAGGGCTTCAGTGGCGTGTGGGCTGGAGAATATAAGAAGTACGGTGAGAAGAAAGGTGAGGAATTTAGGAACATGGTATACTGAAAGTTTGCTGTTGTTCTGCAACAGTGGATGTTTCAAATGATTTGAATCCATGCTTGAGGGAAATAGTTGCTTGATCATTTTTGAAAATGAAATTTGCAAACTGCTTTACTAAAAGGACTGATAACTACTATTAGTTAGTTAGTAAACAGCTGTATAATTAACTTAAAGAGATAAGAATAATGAGGGCAAACTAATGTAAACGGGCATCGTTACAGCAGGGTTGTAATAATAGTTTTAAAGAATTGATGAATATATTGTTTGTTAATCTAATTTATATGCTTCTTGTAATGTTACAGAGGTCAGTGTGGAGGTTTGTGGCCATTCAGATGCTGGGACAGTGTACGAGCGAATCCGCCTTGAGAAACTCCCGTACGTCCACAGAGCTGTCAGCATCACCATGGACTCTAAAGGCCGAAACTTTGGAGTGCTTCAGGCTGATCCCAAAACAAGGTGAGAGATCCTTCTTGAAGCATAGAAAATGCTTTTCACAGTCATGTTCATAAGTCTGTAGAAAATAGACTTGAAGTGTAAATAGACGCCTCAGGACCAGTTATACATGTAAAATGTGAAGTGTAAGCTGTTGGTAAATATCTAAACATATCTGTTCTGTCAGGCAGATGTAAGACAGATGTCTGTAAAAAGCAGCTTCAGCACATCCTGTGTAAATAGGGTGTTAAAACTATGAGTGACACTCGAGTGATAATTGAAATGGAGGGAAAAATAAGTATATCATGATTTTTAACAGACAGAAATCCAAACTCTCCAATCAGTGGCTAGGGGAGGCTCAATAATCCTGAATGGAGGATGGCTCCTCTGATTTAAAATATACAGTCGTTGCTTTTTCTTAATCATCCTCCTCGTCCATTCGTTCAACTCTATGATTGTTACATTTTTATTGATTAATGTTGGCGTCATCTGCTGTGGTTTATTGTGCACAATACCGTAACACCACCGAAATGCACTTTTTACTACCCACGATAAGACAGAAACCTCTTTAAGAATGTTATTGCTAATGCTTTGACTCACAGTTTGATTGGCTTTAGTATCTTTGTGGCTAATAATATACGCTATGTCAGTAAACTGTCAAGAAATTTAAGTTAAGGTAAATGGGGAAAAGAGCATTTGGATAAACTCTGCCATCTAGAGGTGGGAACCTGGGCCTTATTCCAAGAGATAAACCATGTGGGGCATTGACTTTACAAGCGTTATCTCCCCAGGGAAGCAGTGATAACTTACCACTCAATTTTATGTTGGCACATTCAGCTTGTTGGGCCTAACACAAAATGATGGACTATTTATCTTAATCAGATTGGGTTGTTCTAAATGTTTTCATTTTTAGATCTCCACCCTGCTGATAGCGTACACTGTTTTTTTCCTAAGGACTAATGGCTTGATGATTAATATACATTTGCTGTCTGATAGACATTATCTTGTTAATGTAAACATCTGTGGTCTGTTTACATTTATCTTTTCTATTTCAATGGGCACTTTGCCCTTTACAAAATGGATTGAGCTAGTCCAGTTATGCAGGTGTCACAGATTACACTGTTTTTGTCTTAAGATCTTGATATACAAGTCGTTTTTCATCATTTGAATGATTATTGTACAATGACGTCCACCCTGTGTCTTCAATCCAGCTTGTATGAGATTCCCAGCATTTCTCCATCCTCCTTCTCCCAACACTTCCGGAGCCTTCTGGATGAGGCAGATGAAATGGACAGCATCCACGACGTGACGCTTCAGGCCGCTGATCGCACCTTCGTTGCTCACAAGTACATTTTGTCCATGAGGTCTGAGTTTTTCCGGAAACAGTTCATGTCCGAGCACTGCGGGGTTGATGAGGATCTCGATAAGGAAGTGAGGAGGAGCGAAGACGCTGTGGGCTGCGATTTACTCATTTTCGAAAAAATCCCGCCGGACATGTTGGAATACGCCCTGCACTTCATCTACACAGACTCCTGTGAGCTGCTGGTGCATGGTTCCCGGCCGAGAGTCTCGGGCCTGATGGGGCAAAACCAGGTGAAGTCTTATTCACTAATATTCACTTAAAAAATCTCAGCAACAGAAATCTGATATACTGTATAATGCTGTATATAATGTAGCTTCAGTCTGTATAAGACATTTGCATTAGTAAATAGTGAAGAGCTGTTACCTCTCACTCAGCTGTGGTTATTTCATTAAGACTGCCTCTGTTGCCTTGGCCAGGATGTAGAGCAGCAGAGGATTATCAGCAGCCTGCAGGACTTGGACCTGAGAGGTTGTCCAGCCCTTGAGGTGTACCGCTCCCTTCCCTCTGCAACCAGAGGAGATGGTGACAAGGCCAAGAGCAAGGGTTCCAAGCCTGGCAAGAAGGGGAAAGGAGGCAGAGGTGACAAGGTTGGAGCCAATGAAGGAGGGGCCAATCCTGTCAAAATATTGCAGGGTGTTGCGAAGAAGCTCGGCCTGGGCAGCCTGTCGGCACGGTGAGAGACCCGGATCTGCTCTTAACCTGAGGCACAATCAGATTTTGTCATTTTTTACTAATCGTGTTTTCTTTATTCCTCAACAGACTGGACGGAGTCAAATATGAAAATGGAAAAATCAACATCATCAACAAGAAAACTGGCAACAAACCCAAGTTTTGCCAGAGGAAATGGTGAGTACATGAGTGTACATTATCAGTTGTAGCTGTATATTAGATTGTAAATAATACATTTGATATGAAAATGTAGATTTTGCTATCGCTATTGTTTTGTGTCTCCACAGCTCCTACCTTTGTGATGTTACTCTGAAATCTGAAGATGGGAAAGAGTTTCCTTGCCACAAAAGCGTCCTCTGTGCCAGACTAGGTAAGATGATAGGCCAGCATGTCATCAATAGAGAAACGTATACATAGAGGTTTACAATCATTTTTGTTAATAGAAACTAACTGCAATTAGATAAGTTCTGTGCTTAACACATGCTCATGAAACATTACCTATTGCAGTATTATTTTAATAAATACATTTATTTCCCCAAAACTGAGGCTGTGTTTTTGTTTGTTAATTAGCAGGATACCTCCACTTTGTGGAATTATGAGCTTCCTGCTTGTTGTGTAACTTTAACCTTAGTTACTGTTTGGATGTTTTAAGTAAAGAAAATGAGTAACTGTTTTTGTTTGTGTCCATCTTTCTGCAGAATATTTCAACAGTATGCTTGGAAACCCCTGGATTGAGGTATGCCATGTTTTTATTTCATGTTGCTTTATTCTTTAACCTTTAACCAACTACTGGTATACACCTGTATAATTTAAATGCAGTTTCTAGGGCTGTTAATACAGTTGTCTTGTGCCCCCTCAGGCCACATCCTGTAATGCACTGGAGATGCCAACAAGCTCAGAGATTCTGCAGGTCATTCTCGAATATATTTACACAGATGAGTCTCCCACCATTAAAGGTAACTTCTCAAGTTTTATTGACTGAAAATACATTTGTGGTGTGTCTGATGTCACACTTGGTAGAAGTCCTGGTTTTACTGCATTTACATGAAAGGTAAAAGAGAACAAATTAACAGTACTCCTCCTGGTTCTCCTCCTTTGCCTGACAGAGTCTCTGAATGTCGAGTTTGTCTGCAACGTATTGGTTGTGGCCGACCAGCTGCTCATCACGCGACTGAAGGAGATGTGCGAAGTCGTCATCACAGAGAATTGTATGTTTTGTTTGTCTTCTCCCTTTACCCAACTTCTTTTACATTGCTCTTATCTTTTACAACTTTATTTTTCATTTGGACATAAATGGACATAATGCAGTACTTATGTCATATAAAAATACTTTTGGTCTGTATGTCCCATTTTCATGAATGCGACATAACATGTCTTTAACACTCCAGCATCACACACACTCATTTAGCAGCGAATCTTGCAAATCAGATGAGTTGCGGGTACACTTTCAACTGTAGTTTAATTAAGTAAATACACTGCTAATTGAAATGCCAACAAATTGTATCTCTGACAGCGATTTGCAGTAGGCTTAGTGTTAGTGTTCCCCCAAATAATTGAGTACCACCAAAAGATTGAAAAATATTGACAAACTTGATGTCAATATAAAATTCAGAAAAACATTCAATCTTGAATCTAAAATCACACACACACAAAGCCCTGCATTATCTAGAATGGTACCACTAATAAATGCACCAGCACCAGGAGTAAACCCATGCAAGCACGAGGTGACAGTGCTAACCACTGCACCAAAACCAAAGCTGTGGCTATTTAATAAATGAACCATAAGTGTTGACAGTGGGCAGTTTTTTTTTATCATGTACATGTCACTCATTATCAGTATAATGACTTTCCTCATTATATATTATCAGATAGATTATCACCTATTTTTCTTCTAGACGGTATCAAAATCACATTGCCTGTCTTCTCCATACGATGTGAACGCAGCATAATTTCACAAATCACACCTTCACCATTTCAGTTAAACTTGCCTGAGTCATTAATGAAGCTGCCTGCTTTGCTCTCCTCAGTGACTCTGAAGAACGCTGCCGAGCTGCTGGAGTTTGCCGCTATGTACAACGCAGATCAGCTGAAACTCTCCTGTCTCCAGTTCATTGTCCTCAACATGGCCGCCCTGCTGGAGTCAAAGTGAGAATCAAGTTTGGATTTTGAAAGTTCTTTTAACACAGCTGTTTTTAGAGCATTTCAGCATTTTGTATAACATTATATTATTTGTATTAGTTAATTTAATGTGTGGACAAGGAAATTCTGGTCTATACATCAGGACAAATACAAGTGCCATTAGGAAAGAACAAAAAATATGTTTTCTCATCTGTACATGTGTTTTTTTATGTTGCCCTCAGAGCTCTGGATATTCTTAGTGATGAGGTGCTTGTGGATCTTTCTTCAGCTTACAGGAGAATGGTGAGTGACCTTCAATCCCTAGAAACAACCCCATTTGCATGATGTTTTCCGTGACTTCAATGTTTGCTTATTATATGTCTTGTGACTTTGATTTTAACCTTTTAATGATGACTTATCATTTTTTCCTCTGACTTTAAAAAAAAAAATCCCTCTCTCCAGCAGTAGCTGATCTAGCAGACTGTAGTCAGGGACTAGTGTAACTGTTGTTTTTGTTTCTTATATAATTTTCAGTTGAATGTAGCAACTTCTGACCCACTTTATAGGGCTTCTGGGAAATGTACAGAAATACTAGTGCTCCATAAAAACAAATAGAAATACCATTATAAAAATGTGTCAAATATTGTCACTTGATGTGATCAGCTTATTAGGTAGGTTTTTGCACAGTTGATTATAGTGATTGCAGATTTCTTTTAAAATCAGTCTTGGTTCTCTTTATGTAAATGTTTCTAATGACTGATATGTAGCGCTGGAGATGAAGGGCTCTTATGTCGTCTGTTCTGACTTTTTAAATTGTGATTTGTTATTTCAGATCCCAGCCATGCAAAAGAGAGTTATCACTCCATACCCTGGCGCTCCAGATCTCAGTGTATATGAGGATGAAGACTTGGACTCAGCATTCAGCCTGAAACAAGAGGCAGAACTGGATCACTCCTGCAGGTACACAAGCAGAACTGTTATTGTGTCTGTTTTCTGATTGCATTGCTGTGCAGAGTTTCATATTTTCATAATTGACCAAATCGCTTACTTTCATATTTAAAAAGAAAATGATTCTCTTGTTATAGAGCCTAGCCTCTGTAAAATACATCATTGCTCTTTTCATGTAGCATGGTGACTACTTGACTATATAAACCTAAAATTCAGAAAAGCTGGAGCTAACAAGGACGAGTTCTTCCTCCTTTAAACATTTTGAATGTGGTTCTCCAAAAAAGGATCTGGTACTGATTGTACAGCATTGTATTCCGTAGGGATATCCTGTTAAAGAAAGCCAAGATGAAAGCTAAAAAGAAACCAAGGCGACGATCTGACAGCTCAGGGGGCTACACTCTGTCTGATATCATCCAAAGCCCCCCTACTGCAGGTACACCTAAAACTTCAATGCTTTTAATACATATCCACATGACATGACAAACCACTTCACAGCCATCAGCTCTTTTTTTTTTCTTTTCTTTTCTTTTTTTTTTTTTTTAAAGCATCAGGTTGTTTTAAGGGAAAATGTGATAATTTCACTAAGAAACGCTCTCTGTCTTCTCAGTGGTCTCCCCGTGCCTGGTGAAGTCAGTGAAGGCTAACTCGACAGAGTCCCTGCAGGAGCTGCTCACATCAGACTCAGAGGGCAGCTACATGGGGGTGGGCAGTCCCCGAGACATTCAGTCACCGGTCTTCCATGACAGAGCTGAGGTTAATATCGCACCACGACAACATTCATATGGACCTATTTTATTGCACATTTAATATAACAGATGTCATGCATTTTGGATTATTATGATATGCAGTGGATGCTTGGAATTAGAACTATCAAACAGAGTTAACCATTTCCTATTGTATGATTGTGTTAGATTAATAAAAAGTCATCACATAACATCAAATGGCGGATATAAAACTCAAATATACAATATATCAAGGGTAGAATTTTCATTGTTTTTCATCTGCAGGATGAGAGGGCTTTCAGTCAGAGGCTGAAGACTCCACCCAGCACCCCAACTTCCCTGAGAAACGGCTTCCCAACTCCCCCCAACTCTGCTACACAAATCATCCCCAACGTTCTGCCCTGGTAAGATGCACTTGATCATTCCGAAATCTCCCCGTATCTTTAGTTTTTTGTTTTTTTGCAATATCCATTTTCTCTTTTTCTCTTTCTCCAAAAAAAGCTGGAGACAGAAAGTCCACAAGGCAGAGATGAGTTATTTTACATGCTTTGAAAAGCAGGTTTCAGATTTGACACAAGATACTCAAGGTCTTTAACAGAAGATCTTATTTCCTCCTACTTTTGAGGAGGAGGGCTGCAGAAAGAAGGGAAAGTTTTCATCCCTAGCTAATAAATAACTCTTGAAAATCGAGCTCTATGTCTTACTTACTTTGTATGTGTGAATGTGTTATTACGATCTGCAGTCCTACTCGTCCACCCCCAGTCTTGGATCTGAGAACCATCATGGACATGGAAGCCAACTCTCTGCAGACCCTCGGAGCAACTCCTAAAAGTCCTGGAGGGTATGTGAGGTCTGCATCATTCACAGTATCAATAAACTGTTGTTTACAGTTACCAGTTAGGCCAGTCAATAGGAGGCCATACAGGTAGAAGGAGGAAGGAAAGCTGTTCTGCTGCATATGAATGGACTATTATTTGTTTCACTGTCCTCTTCGGCTAACTGCACATATTTTCCGTCCTGCCTGCAGTGTCAGCACCAGCATCAAGCACTCCCCTGTTCCCACTAAATTGTCCCAGAAGCAGAGGAAGATGCTGGCCATGGCCAGCAAGGAAGCCAGTGTGGAGTCCACAGCATCCAAACCAACCCCCACAGTTACCCCTTCCAAAAGCAGTGGGAAGGCCTGGTGAGTGGCTCCTCTTGATGGGTTTACAGCTTCTCACTGGTGGTGCAGTTTGAAGAGATCTTCACAGTTTCATCATTGCATTCATTTTTAGTATGGATGACTGTTTTTTTTTTTTAAATGGACTGTTCTTATGTAGCACTTTTCTAGTCTTATCGACCACTCAAAGCGCTTAACACTACAGACCGCATTCACCCAAACACACACACTCATACACTTAACTGATGGAACAGCCATCAGAGGAAGTTTGGGGTTCAGTATCTTGCCCAAGGACACTTTGACACACGGACTGAAGAAACCGGGATTGAACCACCAACCTTTTGATTAGTGGAGTTTTACCTCCCGAGCCACATCTTTTTAGGCATACAACACTTGATGAAACTACTAAGAGAGCAGGTCTCTAGATCCGCTTCGGAGTGCAACGGTGCAACCATCTTTCACCTTCACCTACATGCTCTTTATTTCTGTGTCATTCATTTCTGTCTGCAGGGCAACAGCAGTCCAGTCCCCTCCCTCCTCATGCTCATTTCGGGCACTGCTGGAGGAGGAGGAGAACAGCTTAATCAGAGTGGGGCAAGCAGGAACACAGAGAGGCCAAGGTGCTCAGGGATCACCTGTCACTCCTACATCTGCTGCCAGAAGGGTCACGTTCAAATGTGCTGAAAGCAGCGAGCCAGAGAAACAGACTGGGTGAGTATATCACAGGCAATACACACTGAGGCGGAAACACACACGCCAAGGCAAGACTACTTCTGTCCTGTACTGCTGCTTTCCACTTGGTGACACTGTTGAGGTGTCGTCATAAAACTGCTTTAAGGTTGTTTAAAATCAGCAGCGCACAGACACACACACAGACTTACTTTGGACTAAAGATACCCCATTAACTTAATTACCTCAGTTATAGCTATCTTTATTACAATACCATATCTAAACCTTAATTAAAAATACATATGACAAACGGGATACATCTAATAATTATTTATATCCGTCCTCATACTTTTTTCTTTCTTCATCAGATCAAGAAAATGCCCAAATATTTTTTACTTTTTATTTTTGTCCAGTTAGAGTTTTGTTTTAATCCAGTTAGAGATTAAAAACAGAGATTAGAAAATAAAAGTGGAAGCAGCATTTAGTGTTAACCTCAGACTGATTCTACAGGGAAGAAAGAGAACTAAACAAATATTGAGCTGTACGACTTGTCGAGGATCTCCTCTGGTTACACAGATTGAGAGAGTCGTGAGGTTCTGGTCGGACTGAGGTGAACAGCTCTAAATGACCCAGTGCAGCTGGGTTGACCTGCCCACAGACACTGAGTCGCCCTGACCTTTACAACATCCTCAGACAGCTGTACAAACACTGCGCGCGCGCACACACACACACACACACACACACACACACACACACACACACACACACACACACACACACACACACACGCAAGTCCAACTCCAGTCCATAAAAATATATTCCTAACTGTTGTAATAGTTTGCTTTGATATTTGTATGAGGCCTATGTTTGACGGAAAGAAATGAAACACTTGAATTGTGAGGCCATCTCTGCAGGTTTTCAGTCGTTTCAGGGCTTGAAAGTGAAGTGCATTCTCGCAATCTTTTGTAAGTGCGTCTCCTTTATCTTATACACGTCCTCTGTTTGTCCACGCTTCATGCTGCAATCTTAAGAGCGGACTTTTAGATATTCAACAGCTGTGTGAGCCACTCTTGTGAAGTCGTGATGTTAATCAGAATTGATGAGGGCAGACCTCATGTCAAAACGGATCATACAGAACAGGGAGCAGGTTTCAGGTTCCTCCTGGTATTTGGATGAGACGGACGAGTTCAAGGCTCAGGAAGCAGCAGCAGCAGTCTCGTGCACTCTCATGTGTCTGCCTCTGTTTCCAGATTTTGAAGTCAAATTAAATAGAGATGCCTTATCTTATATAATCATAATATTTGCACTTTGAGTGGTCAGACTTTTTTTTTTTTACTTTCCTAGTGTCTTCTATGAAGGTGTCTCAGAGTCCTCTTTCCATGACCTCAACTTTCATCATAGAGAGTGATTACAAATGTTTTTGGCCACTTTCATAACAAACTGTTAATGCAACTGTCTAATGCAAATGTCTCCAACCCATGCATGGCAACTGTGAACTAAGAAATCACTTAAAAAGCAAACACAGATCAGACTGCAGGGTCATCAGGTTATCTATGTGACTATGTGACTTTTGGAGAATATAAATATTAAGAGGAAGTATTGTGTTCTGCATTCTGGTTTTTGGGGAAATATTGTTAGTGTGTGTAAAGGCAAATTTCTTCAAATAGTGCAATTCGTAAAAAACACGTTTTAAAACACGTGATATAAAATTGAGAGACATAAAAAACAAACAATAAGCACAAGATTAAAAGGCAGCAGAAAATGATAGGAATTTAAACATACTTTTAAAGTCATTAGTCATTTTATTTTCATTTTTTTTGACAAAAACAACAGCATAGTTCAGGAAAATTGTTGCCGGCACCATGACATCCACAACATACAGATACCACACATTACATATTATGGGATATGATCAGTGGGGGGGGTCTTTATACAGCACTACATAAATTGATTTCCATGATTGACAGAGCACACAGCATTTTAAGCAGTGAGGAGGAGGTGAGAAAAAGCCACCAACTAATATTTTATCTGTTTTGTCCAACTTGCGATATCATTCCTCAGTCTCAGTAGTAAAGTAAGTCTTTCCATCTCATGAATCTCCTTGATGATGTCAAGCCAATTATCTACTGTAGGTGGATCGGCAAACATTTACGAATTATTACTTTTTCTTTTGCTGCTGCAGTTAATATTTTCAGGAGGTATCTGTCATTAGCTGTGATTCCTTCTGCTGGATCTGCCAAATGAAGTGACATAGACATCAATGAATAAGTTGCATGATTCTCCAAATACTCTCCCAAAATCGCTGTATCTTTCAACAGCTCCAAAACATGTGGTGGTGATTTACCTCGTCATCCCCACAATTTCTCTAAAATGTGTGGTCCATTGATATTTTATGAGAAGTGAAAAAAACGAACATGATTCTTCCAAAAGAATTCATGCCAGTAAAATAGAACAAGAAGTAGAAAAAATAATTTTACACATTTTCCAATTGTTGACTCGTTATTTTATCATTTAATTCTTTCTCCCATCTCTCCTTCAGTTTAGATAGTTTGTGGTTTTTCTCCTAGGTCTCAGCAATTCCCCTGGCAAAGATTTGAAACTACCAGCACCTTTAATTGAATTATTTCATTAGCTTCTCTAATTGGCTCATTTTTCCCAATTTCTTTTAAGAGGTTTTGGTGTAACTGTAAATATGTGTTAATTTCTGGCTTTTCCAAATTGTGTTATTCTCTTAGTGTCTGAAAGCTTTGTAATATGTCCTTCTCCATGATATTACAGTAAGCTGGAATACCTTTATTCATCAGGACCTAAGTCTAGAATCCATATAATTCTGTATCATGTGTATCCCATCTTATTTTTTTTTTTTTTTAACTGGGCCCACAAATGTAATTGCTTTATAGCCTGAGAGCACATTCACCCGTGTCTGTTTATTGGGTTGTTTATTTGTTTGTCAGCAGAATTATGTAAAAAGTACTGAACTGATTTAAACTGAACCTGGTGGAGGAATGGAAGAATTAAAATTATCATTATATATTGTACAGTTATGTATGCTTGTGGATTTATTCTATAATTTTAGGAGTGTATGAAATATCAGTTGGTGTAACTGATACCTCGTGATTTCTGCTAATACTTGTTGTCGGTGGAAATCGCTGAACCGCTCTCGGCCTCATTCAGTGCAATCTCTGTCCTTTTAGCTCCAGTGTGTGCCTGGAGTGAATCTCTGTTCGCAGTAGCTTTCAGTTCTCTATACTTCTGTTGCACCGTCGTAGCGGCAGGGACCGTTTCCCAGCGAATCCTCATCTTGGCAGGGTCTGGTGTCTTTAAACGTGTCTGTTTCTGCTTAATAATTTTATTTATGTCTTTGTTTGTTTTTTTGTCTTTGTTAGTTTATTGTTCACCTTGGTGTTGTGTGCAAATGCGACCCCTTCTCCCTCACAGGGGATCTTCTATTCCCAGGCCGTTTTTAAGTATTTTGTAATTTATGTCTTATCACTGGAAATGAACCAGAATGGATCTTGAGACGGTTTCATCCTGAGGTTTAGGACTGCTTGACTGGTGAACTCGATGCACTTTTTCAACTCTGTCTTCAGAAAGTTGTCAGTGAATGCTAGCATTGAACTTCCTTCCATGCCTGCCTTAATTACCTATATGTGGATGTTATTACAGCACGATCTTCCTTCTGGGTCGGTTCTTTGGCTTGAAGGAGTTTTCTGTTGTCGGAGAAAATAAAGCAGAACATCCCTAAACTCAGTGTTAGCTGTCTCTGCTTCTTCCACCTGTTGCTCTGCTTCAGTTAGCCTTGTCCCATGGTTTTGAAATTTCTTCCTTTTTTTTTTTTTTTTTCCATTTTGAAACAGTTGAATTCCTGTTTAATGTCATTTCTGAATTTGTTTTTGAAGTTACTTAGTTCTTGCTTGAGATCCATTTACAGGTTTTGTATATCTCTTGCCTAGGTTTTGGATCACTTCAGCGGTAGAGAAGTCCCCCTTCTCACGATCAGTTTGCGTCCTGCGCTCTGAGGTTTAGGTTGTCATTTGTTGTCAAGTTAACAAGTTTCTTAACTGGTTGGAAGTCAAAAAAAAAGTGATGTGTAAAGTTGAGTATTGTCTACATAATTGTGATAGGAAATATTGTCATTGTGAGTTATATCAGCTAATAGACGTAAGAAACGAGCCATGTTCTGCATTGTGTCAACCTAAACTCTTGTGTTTTGCAGATATGTTTTAAACCATGTTGGGATTGGCCTCCTCAGTCCCAGCCTCTCCACCAATATTTAGTGATCCACTGTATCAAATGCAGTGAAGGGATGTCTTACCAGTACAATAGAGATATATTTTAACTTTAGTCCAGCTATACAGGGACTGGCGGCCCATTCACACACAGGAGCTTGTCAGTAGTAGTTGATTCAACCTCTGTCCACACTCTTGTTGCGTTCACTATCACAGTCGCTGATACCCATCCTCACTCTGTCTCTCTCTCGCTGTGTCACCTGTCTCTCCCCTCAGGCCCTGGGTGCTGGGTGCAGTGAGCAGCCCTCCCCCGTACTCCCTGGTGACCTTTGCCTCCATTGTGGAGGAGGAGAAGCAGCAGGAAGCTGCACTGATCCGCAGCCGAGAGAAGCCGCTGGCGCTCATCCAGGTAACGAGTCTTGTCTGTGTGCGTTAGCGCTTACACATTCACCCACACATGCACACTCCTATGTGACTAAATGTATAACTTTTATATGCAGCATCCGAAGTGGAAAAACATAGTAGGGGTCACGTGTCTCCTTTCTCTCATATCTCGCAGACATTCATCTAATGAATATCACATTCTGTACAGTGCTGGTTTGAAATGAGTTGCCTCCAGTTTTTTTTTCTGACAGCCCTCTCTGCTCCTCCTCAGCCGTTGCCAGGCTCCTGTCAGCGCCTTCACTGAACACTTTTTTTCTTGTGGCTTTCTGGTTACCATTATGTGAAACGCTCTTATTATCATTACGCCCTCAGTGTCAGCGTTTTCTTTTTTACCCTCAAATGAAGCGTGGTTTTCTTACCCACTATATCCCTGGTCCTATATCCTTTTCCCGTGTTTTTCCTGTACTCATAGATCGAAGAGCGAGCCATCCAAGACCTTCTGCTCCATTATAAGGCACGTGACAACCCCGATGAGCTGATAGTGGTTGAGAGGTCTTCCAGAGGTCCTATGGCAGCCCCAACCTGGAACAAACACTAATGTTTAACAGCACAGCCACTACATACCATCAAAGTGAGAACATCCCCTGCAGTTGTCATTCTTTATCGTTGGCAGCGTTCCTGCTGCAGCTTCCCCTGAAACATCTTAATCAGATCCATCAGTCCGTGTTGAGAAGTACCTCAGACACATCCAGAGTCTGAGGAAATCTATGCTTCCCTCTGCAGTGTTACTTTAACTTTTATTGCTGCTCAACATTTTGCTTGTGTGGGAGATAGAGTGAGTGTTGTTCATAATTGAATGTGGTCCTGAAGAGACCTTTGGGCCAGAGATTACTTGTGCATGTTTTGTTTTGGTTTTTTTTGATAGGGTTATGTCTATGTAAAAGTAAATAACTTTCCCAAATAAATATCTTTAGTTATGTGAAGATAAAGTTGCCAAAGAAACGACAAGAAATGGAGATGTTAAAACCAGAAAATGGGTCCAAACTAGATCACCTCCAGGGCTTGTATGTGTTGAATCAGTGAAAGCTCTCAATGTGATTAAGAAAGTAAGAGTGCCAATTATCAACCTTGGCAGAGCATCAGCTGTGCTTAAGAAGTAAAATAAAGTGAAGTGTTTACCAAGGCAGTACCTTTTTTAGTTTCTTTTTAAGGTCCTTATGCCTTCTTAGTACATTGTTTTGACTCATTGCTTCAGCTGATTTGCAGTGACATGGTAATCTTGCAGGAATCCATAAATATGTTTTTCATATATTAAGAAAATGCTTGTGTTTCATTTTTAAAATACATCATTTGATGCAGTTACAGTGAATGGTAAATGCCCAGTGTGGTTGATTGTGAGGTACTGGCTTTCTAGCCTTTGTAGTTATCACTAGTGTGTCATAGACGAGGTGGTGTGCCTTTATCAAATAATGACAAGATGCACACAGATACAGCAGCTACATTTTTTTTTTTCATTATTTTCTTTCTTTGATCATTTAGTTGTTTTATTCTCCGGGTTTTTTTCTGGAGCAAAGTAAGCCCAGTAGGTACCTCAGATCTGTTATCTCATCTCGAGATGCCATTTGTGCGTGCGTGCGTGCGTGCGTGTGTGTGTATGTGAGTGAGAGGTAGGGATATGAAGCGAAAATGGCATGCAATAAAATATCTCACCTGTGCAATGACCCTGTCTCCTGTCCATATTTCAGTTTAGATTTCAGAGGGCAGAATGAAAAAAGAAACGCATTTCCTTTTCCCAATTACTCCCTTGTTTTTGTCTTTTTTAGAACTACAACTTGGTCCTTTATTGAAAAATGTGGTTCTCACTGCATCTAATAAAGATAACATTTAATCCCCCTGTCTCCCGACACCTCATCTGCCCGGCATGAGCAAAGGACCATTATCGAGTCTCAGCCTTTGATTAACTGTGATGACCCTGATCTGAGCAGAGAGTGTGCCGATTTAGGGATTTTATTGGCTGTAATTGCAGGTAGAGCATCACATCGGAAGTCAGGGAGAGACAGCTTGTGGGGGAAATATTAATTACAGATTAGGATCTATTAGCCGGTGCAGAGATGACACATGAATCAAAGCCTTGGAGAAAAACTCTGCCTCTTTACATCACGCCGCAATGAGCTAGGCTGACACCACGAGCCAATGAGTAACTTGTTACAAGGACTGCTCATCCTGAGCGTCTGTGCCCTGAATAGAAATGTAGTGTTTTTGTAGGTAGTGGAGTGCCACATGACATGTTTTAAAATAAGACTTTCAAGCATGAAAAAGCAGCCTACATAATGTACTTGCGTTTACACTCTCTCCTTGCTGATATTCAGTTATGTGATACCTGTGGATCAGAAGTTCCCTGACATATTCACGCAGGCTACAACCCTGTCCGTACCCCTTCATCAACACTACCTTCATGTTCCAAATGTGGTCATTTGAAAAATAGAATATTTATTTATTTTTCATACTGTAATATTTAGGATGGTTGGTAAAATTTGCATTCACACTTGCCTGCGGTGGAATCTGGATGTTTCAGCCATTTAATGCTGTCCATTACCTTCTAGCTATTAGCAATGAACTGTTTTAACCTTTTCAACCAACTATCAATTACGTAAGCTATCGATTACAACAATTTATCCATTAAAGGAGCTATTTGTAAGTTTTGCTATTGCTACATAGCCAGTTTTAGTATAAACAGCAGTTTACTTACGAGTCTAGAAAAAACACTGTGAGTTCAGCATCAAACTTCATTCCTTTACTCACCGAGAGCTGTCTCCAATGGTGAGCTGTCTCCAACTTTTAGCTATATCTGTCATTTATGCATTATTTATGCACTTTAAAATAACTATTTCAATGATTTATCCATTATTTCTACCCATTTTAACAATTTATGCTTTACTATTAACTACCATTTTTAATATTTCAACCATTGACCTCATGAAAATTTTAAGAGCCTAAGCATGGCCACCATATGGGGAGAGAAAAGTTAGGACAATTCTAAGGGCCCATGTCAGGAGCCCTACAAACTGAACATTAGGTAATTTTATAGGTAATATTAAATTATTAACCAGTAATCATCATTAATAGAAAATTTTATTTACAAAGTAATTGCACCGCCCAGGAGAAGTTGACCTTCCTCCTGTGTGCTGTGCCTGACCTCTTGCCAACTTCAAACACCCTAAAGATCAGGACCAAAGAAGAAGACCCATCCTGCAAGCAGTATGAAGCAACCCTTTGGACCGTGAGGTGGAGGCACGACAAAGTCTTCACAGAAATTGCCAAATGGACGGACCTGCAGAGGATTGAAGCCAATAAACACCAGGCATCACCACCAATTTACTGATTTCCAAAGGGAAGGAGATGAGGCTCCTAGGGCAAGAACAACCCACCCTCATTTTTGCATTGAGCTTCACACTAGGAGACACAAGTTGACTTGAAGAAGAGACTTGCCTTTCCAGAGGAGGTGGCAGTAATCTCACTCCGTCCAGACATCCTTCTATTCTTCTCTCCAGGAGCACAAAAAACATCTTACAGGCCAAACTCACAGTACCCTGGGAAGACAGGCTACCCATCTCTCACCAGCTGAGGAAATCCAAGAACCAGGGTTTGATCGATGAGGCTCTTGTCAAAGTATGGCATGCATCCACATTCCCCATTTCCCAGTAACATCAGTGTGCGATTTCTTACAGAAGATGAGTTTGGAACCAAAACAACTGAAGAAAGTCACTTGGGAGGTTGCCATGGCAGCTGAGACCAGCTCAAGATGTTTGTTATTGATGAAAGTCTGCAGTTGGAACCCCGCTGCAGGCTGAGGGGCAAAACACTTGAGACCCTGACATCATACCTGCTGAAGATGCAGAAGCTTTCCCAACAATGTGAAAGCTCTGAGCTGCCACCGAGAAACACCATCATCTTAAAAAGCTTCTTGTAGCAAAGCATCTTTAGGGTTTATTTCATCAATTCTTTTTATCCATGTGAACAATTTATCTGTATAAACAATTTCTCCATGACTTTAAGCTATTTTTAACAGTTTATCCTGAGACAGCATGACAGAGCAGTGGAACATAGTTGAGGAAGATGCACTTTTCCTGTGGAGGGATGGTGGAGGATACTGTAGGCTCTGGCCATCGAGCCTTCCTGCCAGGCAGATGGGAAAGTCATAGCGCCATACTTCCAGACAGTGAGGATAACTTCTGGATTAATTTGTTTATGGAGAAAAAGGGGAAGTGCGAGACACTCTGTGGAATACCTCCTACATTCCCAACCTGCTCTGACTGGAGAGTGCCAGAGCAAAAATGATCAAGGTCAAAGCTCCATTTATCCAGCATGATTTCATCCCTCATCAGCCTGCTTGTCATTGTCATCTGTTTCGGTCTAATGATTATAAATGATTCCTTAGTAGTTCTCCGACCTCTTTCATGCTAAGTGTACCAGTCAATTATGCCTGCGAGCAGAATGGAAATATTGCACTTTAAGAGCAACTGAAATATAATTAAAATATTTTTAAAGGTTATATTTTTATAATTATGCTGAAGTTGTATTCAGTTATAGCCTATAGTTGATTTGTGTGGTTCATTACTGGGAACTAGCAAGTTGAAAACTGTTTTGTTATTGAAAGTTTTAGGTCTCTTTTCCATGAAACACTGCAGACTCTTTTTTTCTTCTTGTCTTATACAGGAAAGTTGCATAAGTTGAAGTCATGTCAAGATAAAAATGAGGAAGTTGATGAAAATGATAAGTGACAGTAAAATGAACATGCAACCTCATCTACCCCTTAGTAACCTGCATTGTGTCAGTGAGATTAGTGAATGCAATAAGATGTTTTAATGACCAGCAAAAATTCAATTTTGCAGCCCCTGCAACAGAAATATATACATATATACGGAGAGAAAAAACAACTTATTTGATTTATGTCAATGATTTAATGTTTGTGCTCTCAAATTAATAACAGAACATTAATATGCAGAAATGATTAATTGAAGAGCAGGAATTATTCATTTGAGAGTACAAATGATTATCCACCCAAACAAATCCTGGACTCTCTAGGAACACCAAAGGGAAACCAGAAAGTTTGTTTTTATGCTTCCATAAATAAAGTATACATCATTAGTTTTGAGGAGTTATACTTGAGTCTATCAAAAATTTTCATATAGAAAAAGATTACTTCCAGCTTCTTCCCAAATGTCCAAATATAATCGGTTATTATCATATGTAGAGTATTTCACTTGCATGCTGAAATTTACTATAAAATTAAGTTAATAAATTGCGTAGATTTCGTGTCGGAACTGCAAATACCAGACGAGAGTTTACAAGTGGTTTAATCTGCAAAATTCAAAGACACTCTACAGTGTACATACAATGCTAGGGAAATATAACAATATACAGTATATGCATTAGCCACTTCAACAAATAATAATAATTACAATATAAATATTTGAATTTAAATATAATATTAATCATTTAAGATGTGTTCTGACTGACATTTAATAGGGGATGCAGGTGTTGCAGTGTACAATTTGAACAGTAGGTCATTTAACAGCCGTCACTACAAATGCAGAGCCAGTCATCCATAATATCTTAAGAGTTACTTAAGTTATTCATACTTTTCTTTGGCTTGAATGCTGACCTGGAGCTGAAAGAGCCTTCCAGCCGCTTAGTTTCCCTTCATAGCCTCAGTCAGAGAGGGTCGACTGGCCCTTTCAATCCTATTTAGTGGACATGGAGCCAGTTAGCCCTGGATTACCTGACCTCTTGGCGGCCGTCACTCTGCTGGCAGCTTTACAAAGATCATTAGGGTCTCAGGAAGTGTTACTCTGAGAATGTGGCCAGAACGTGACAGCTGTCCTGCTGTCTTGGCCGTCGTTCATGTGACGTCCAACTTGGCTTTCGTATGTTGTCAGTCTGACAGCTTCAGAACCACGTGTCTCCTGGCAAAGAGTGTGGTCTTGTGACATCTTCAAAGCTTGGTCACAAAGTGCAGAGCCAAGCCAGTGGTCGCACTGACAGTTATTCTGAATGTGTGGGAATGTGACTGTTCTGTTTTTGCAAAGGTTTCTGTTGCTTCTACTGTCATTAGAGCATCTTCTCTCCTGTCTGCACTATTCATTTTAATGTAAGACTGTTGGAAGATTTTATACTTTTTCAGACACCCCTCCCCATTTTAACTTATATTTTATGAAAAATATCTTTGAACACATGGTTCTTTGGGGTTCATGCAACATGTATCATTGTTGGGAATGCAAATTTAGCCAAACCATGGTCCATTTCTGACTGGCTTTCTTTTCCTCCTCTTCGCTTTCTCCTTCTTCATCTTTACCAACTGTCATCTTTTAAAGCTTAATGGAATTGTTCAGCATTTTTGTAAAAAATTCACTTTCTTCATGAGAGGTTTGATCCCATAGCCAGCAACCAGGTGGCTTAGCTTAGCATAAAGATGGGAAAATGCTAAACTGGGTCTATCCAGAGGTAACAGAATTTACCAGCACTTCTTAAAACTCACTAATTTACACTTTGTATTCCCTTTGTTTGATCTGTACAAAAACCGAAGTGTAAAAAGTGTTGGTTTTACAATGAATTGTGGTTTTACAAGGGGCTGTGATTTTACGAGGGATTGTTGGCAACCTTGTGGTGACAGTAAGACTTCAGTAAGTTACTGAGACTGTCCAAGAAATAGTCCTGCATA